ACTCCTTTTGTCGTGGCTGTGTTGCACTTGAGTCAGTGCCACAGCCCGGAGGTCTGACAGGGCTTCGCCCGTCATTCCACCCTTGGGAGTTGCATGTTGCGACCCCAGGACTCTGTACTGGTCTTGAGGTCACTTCAAATGAATTCCGGAAGGAGCTTCCGGCAATCGCTTACTCAGGGCTTTACTGCCACTGCTGCCAGCCTCCAGTTTTCCAGCCTGGCTGCCAGTTCTGTTGGTGCCACTGCTGGTTCCACTCTTGGCCGTATCCGGCGGATCGCCAGTTTCTCCACTGCTCCTCAGCCCAGCTCGATCCCTGCCATTGCTGGTGGCTGTCGTAGCTCTGCCGATTCCATCGCCATTCATCTTGGTTCTGAGGGTGGCTTGGATCATCGGCTGGAGCAGCCGCTGCACTATCTTGGGGGTTGGTCCTCAAATCAGCGGTGCGCTGGGCTCTTCTCTGCGCCCTCTCGGCCTCCTTTCTCGCAAGATAGCCGGGTTCCAAAGTGGGGGGTCTTGGATGATCCCAAGACCTCGGCATATCAGCTGGTGTGCAACCCTCCATTCGTGCGAGCTGTTGGTGATGCCTGGCCGCCCTTTGCCGCGACTTATGTCGGATCCTCGCCTCTTCCGGCGAGAAACCCATCCGGATGTCGGCTGCGAACTTGCCTGGCTTGGTGGGTGGAGGAGCCTCGTCCGTTCGCAGCTGCAGGGACTTCAGGTACTCGGTGCATCGTTGCCAGGATGAAACCCTCATCTTTGCTTTGACCTCTGCAGGCGCCCTCAGGTATGCTTCCATGCGATCACCAATCTCTTTCAGGAGATCCATGTCCTGTTGAAACTCCTCTGGAGTTCGATCGTCCTCCTGATCTCCCCAGTCGACTTCTTCTGAGGAGAAGAAAGGTGTCTCGACCGGAGGGGTCGGGCTTGATCTGGCTGGACCAGCCGGTGGTGGGGTCCCCCCCGTCATGGCTTGGTCCCTCGTCTCCTCGACCTTTGGCGCCTTGGCGGGGCTTTCCCCGCTGTCTCTTGCAGGCGGCTCTGCCATGGGGGCATCTTCCTCCCTAGTGTCTTTGCTGACAGCTCTTTTGGGCCTTGCGTAGCTCCTCGGATCTTTTCCCCTGGACTTCATAGCTTCCCAGGCGGGCGGGAAGACCATCTCGGCAAGGTTGATCCTTGGGGATCCACCGCCCAAGCAGTCTTCCCTGACTGCTGTCGGCAACGGAGTCCCGACTTCTGGGATGGGTGCTAGGGTCTTCCTCTGCTGCCTCAGCTTTTGGTTGTTGTAGTGGAAAAGGAAGCTTTTCACTGCATCCAGTGCTTTCTGGTTGAAGGCATCATTTGCTTCCTTTCGATCCCCTTGGAGACCATCCGTGGTGTTCTCCTCATCCCAGTTCTGGCTGACCTCCGGCCAATCACAACTGGTCGGATCGACCACATCATGCCAGCCATCTTCGGAGTCCGGGTCTACGTTGACCAGCACATAGTCCTGCGAGGGGTCTTCCACCCTGTCCGCATGGTCACCGGGCTCTGGTGTTCCCAACCACAGCGCAGCTGGGCTGGCCCCTTTCCGGGCTCCTTGGTCCACCTCCATGGGGGCCGCCTCGGGCCGGATATCTTGCTTGTTCTGAGTTCCTTCTCCCTGGTAAGTTTGGGGATTTCTCTCAAACAGCCCGGAGGGTCGGAAGGGCTCTTCTCCTTCCTCGGCATTGGGGGCCCGTAGGTCCTCTCGCATTCCTTTGGTTTGGTATGCTTGAGCGGACCGCTCGAAATGCCTGGGAGTTCCTCCTACACTTTCCTCCGGTGTTCTTGGCTCGCCTGAGGGTGTTGACCCCTTTGCCTTTGGCGGAACAAAGCTTGGTGGCGGCGCCTTCCGACCGATTGCGGTCCCTCTCTCCTCCTGTTTTGGTGGGATGAAGTCCTTGGGCGGAGGAGGTGGTGGCTTCCTCAGACCCGCTGCTCCTCCTCCCTCCTGCTTCGGCGGTAGGAAGTCGCTGGGTGGAGGAGGTGGTGGTTTTCTCAGACCAGCTTTGGGTGGCGTCTTCGCCCTGGGCAATCTCTCATCCCTTGGAGGTGGCATGTAGCCTGGAGGTTTTGGCGGCGCCCATTGGTGGTAGTTGGACGATGGGCGTGGGACCTCCGACATAGGCGAAGGTTTTGGCATGTTCTCTGCTGGGGGGAACCTCGAGGTCGGCTTTGGCGTTGGTCCTTGTGCGGTTGAACTGGCTGGACCAGCTGTAGCCGTTTGCTGTTGTGGTCCCCATCCTGTGGCAGCTGGGCCGGCTGGATCAGCCGTAGGGGCATTCGGTCTCGGAGCACTGTAGGATGGTGGGAACCTGGATGCTGGCTTGGGCTGGGTCGGTTGGTGCTCTGCCTGCGGACCCGGTGGTGGAGTAGTGGATCTCGATTCAAAGAAGTCTCGAGCTTCCCGAAAAGACGAGGAAGGCTCCTTCCTAGCCTGTTGTGCATAGCATCCCCGAGCCTGCCCTTCATCCTCGTTATTCCGGGGGTTATAGGCTCTGGTTGCCCCTGGCCTTGCTGGTGCTGCCCGGGCTACTGCTGCTGCCCTCGCCCTGGCTCTGGCGAGTTCTGCCGCTCTCTCCGCTTGCCACTGACGGAATTGCTCGGCCATCAGTGGGTCACTAAGGATATCCCTAGCGGTCGACATCCTCTTGAACTCTTCGGATTTCTCTTCCTGCTCTTCTGTCGGCAAGTGGCTGAGCTTGTCTGGATGGTACGTTCTTGCCTTCATTCGGAACGCCTTGAGCACTTCGGGCGTACTGGCCCCTCGCCTGACTCCGAGGAGTCGATGCAGGTCTAGATCCGGGTTGTGTCTGAAAAAGAGGTGTGATTCCTCCAGCTTGCTAACTGGGGCCGCTTCCATGACGCAGCTTCCAGCACGTTCGCAGAAGGACACTCGTCGGTCTGGGGCCCAAGACAAAGATCTCGAGCCTAGAGTCCCACGATTGGGATCAGACCGATCTTGGTGGTTTCCAACGGGTGGGCGATCGGCAGCCTGAGCCTTCTGACTAGGCAAGGTGATGACGTTGCTGCCTATCATGCCTTGGGAGATGCCTATCTGGGCTGTGTGGTCCTCATATAAATATGCGTGAACGGCATCAGAGGTCCAGCCCCCGTATCTCTTCAACCTCTCGAGGTCCCCGGTAGATGCGAAGAAAGCCGTGGCCCCCCCTTTGCGGAGTGAATGAGACCCTGCAAGTTCCCCTGGGTATCCCGCAGCCAGTGCTGCCACCTTAATTAGGTGGGCTATCCCCTCCCGGTCGAGACCGGATCGGTCCGCGTACCGAAACAGCGGCTTTTCAAGCTCCGCACCTCTCCAACGATGAGGTTGTAGTGCTTGCAGTGTAGCCAAAGCCTCGACGGACACAGATCTCCACCGGATCGGTGGTGTGAACGAGCTTGCCCACGACCGAACTGGTCTGTCTTGGAGGACCTGACTTGGATCACCACTTCATCTGCTACTGTCCCCAAACAGGCTTGACCCCCCTTATAGAAGGCAACATCGGCTGGGCGGATCGCCCGATCTAGCGGGTCTGATCCATCGCCATGCGGCAAGAGTTCACTGGCTCTCAGCATGAAGAACCACCCAGTCAACAGGGCCCCTTTAACCATGGCTTGGTCCGGTACGGTTAGATCCATTCGTTGGATGTGCTGGTTCAGCCACCTGAGCATGGTTGGGGTAACTGGGAGCTTTCTGGCTGGGGCCCCTTCCCACCTCTGCAGTCCCGCTACGGCGGACCACAGCCGTGGTTTCCCTGAGAGTGGGTCAGGGTAGCCGGCAGTAATGTGGGCATAACGGATAGCGGACAGCCTTTGTCTGATGCCCCCTATGGAGCGTCCCATGATTTGGTGGAGGAAAACCACGAACCTGATTAGCCTCTGTTCATCTTCATACCGAGCGGAACGCTCCTCTCCCGTGAGGAACAACGGTGACTTGGCTCCACTATTAAAAAGGACCCATTGCTTCCATCCAGAGGCATAGACTCTCCTAGTGGAGTCAGCTAGTTTAGCTAGCACTGCTTCCATGCCAATGTGGTCCAGGGCCTCGATGCCTTTAAGCCTTGGGGGCCCACAGTTCCCTTTGGGGGGATGCTCCGCTTCTTCTTGTCGGTTTTTGGCTGGGGCAACCAGCTCGTGAGTGGGAGTCAGGTAGGGTTTTTTAGCTTTTCCCCTTTTGGGGGCACCGGCTTTCCAGGAGGAACCAGCATGAGTGGGGGGGCAAATAGGTTCTTTGATTTTCCAGGAGACCAGTGCCAACTCATTCGATGGTCTCTTGGGGTTTCTACCCCAAGCTCTCAGCCACACTTCAAGCTGCTCATGGGCTTGCATCTCATCAGGGTCATAGACCCCTGCTCGTGATCCCTCCCAGCGGTGCGTCGCTTGGAGCAAGCGGAAAGCTGCTTGCCAACCAGGTTCCCGTACCATGGCTTGCACAAGGTCGGAACGACCTGACGGAGGCGTTTCGTTCCACACAGCAGCTTCCCCACCTTGCATTTCCCACAGTTCTTCAGGGAGGAGTGGTCTCACATTTCCGGATCCATCTTCAAGCAGTGTTCCCCCTGGAACCTTTAAGGGGTGCCCCCGGAGCCTGGGCCCACATGCTGGTCCTCTGTGGCTATGCACCAGGTGTCTCTCCCCGGTGGACTTCTCAAGGAGGTGTCCTACTGGTTTAGGGAGCCAAGGGTCCCCGGTGGTCACGATGTTTGGATCCCGAGTGAAGATAAATTCCGGAGGTTGGAGTAAATTGGTGGCTTGGTGACTTCCCCTTCAACTGGTTTGGCTTCACCCCACCAGCACGCGACCCGTTTCCTTGCTGCGAACGCTCCCAAATGGGTGGTCTGGTAGTGTGCTGTCA